TCACCTACATTCCTACAACAATAAATTAACCGGCATCAATTAATTTTCCGACATCAATAAATTTAGCCACATCAGTAAATTACATTACATCAATAAATTCCCCTACATCAACAAATTCACCTACATCAAAAAATTCACCGACATCATTTAACTCGCCTACATCAGTAAATTCGTCAACATTGGATTCACTGACAGCAATAAATTCTACATCCATACATTCACATACGTCAATAAACTCGCCTTCATCCATAATTCATCGATATCAATAAATTCACCATCAGCAAAAAGTTCGCCTTCATATATAAATCCACCTACATCGATACATTCGCTTACGTCAATAAATTTATCTACATCAATAAATTTACATACATCGACAAATTTACCTACATCAATAAATTCGCCTACATCAATATATTAATTAAATTAATTATAAGGGAAATGTAATTAACGAAGGATAAATATGAAATGCAAAACAAACCTACAACCCTAAAACACTAACCATAACCGAGCGTTTTGACACGCCACTACTTTGCATATGACTATAATCGTATTTCAAATTGATTGCCCAATGTGTCATTGTATTTTAACAACATTTTTGTGTGCAGTGAGACCCTGCCTGAACATGTAAAAAATTTCAGTGCTGTACTCAGAGCTGGGCAGCGCTACTTGGAAATGTAGCGGCGCTACCGCTACCGCTACCGCTACATGCTCTAAATGGAGCGGGCGCTACCGCTACCGCTACACCCACTAGATTGTAACGGGCGCTACCGCTACCGCTACAGTAAAATGTAGCGCGCTACATTAGCCGCTACACTGGCCAAAATTATTGAAAATCTCTAAATATTTATTGTTCTGCTATTGGGATTTACTCATTAACATTTAATGATAATAAAACATTTTTAAAACATATCGATGCAACTTTATTGCAATTAACCTAACCGAACTAGTATGGGTTACCCCAGGGTTAGATACAGTAAAAAAAGTTAGTTATTTTTATGTTTTACCTTCCCTACATGAATGTGAACTTTAATCTACCAATCTAAGAAATTATCCACATATACATATACAAATCAGTCTTTTTTTGTATATATATGTGGATTATATTTGAGATTGGTAGATTAAAGTAGACATCCATGTAGGGAAGGTGAAACATAAAAATAACTGTGTAAAAATAACTGTAAGCAAACTGAGAGATGAAAAAACCTGTAAGAATGAAACTGTACGAAAGATTTCGGTGTAATGTTGTCAACCTCAGCCTGTTACTAGTGTCAATATGTTAGTTGTTACTTTTTAAGTTGTTACCAGTTGACAACATTACACCGAAATCTTTCGTACAGTTTTATTCTGTAATTTATATTATGTATGTATCATGCTGGTTTTTAAATAATATTTAATACTATTAAGGGGACCGGCTACCCTAAAAATCGGAAATTTTGGCTTTACCGTTTTCTTGACTCATTTTGTAAGAAGCCTTTTTTTAATATGTGCATGGTTTGACTTATATATGGGAGGGGGAGGAAGGTGGGGGGTAAAAATGTGAAAAAAAATGGGAAGAACGCGCAAAAAAAAAAAAAAACAATGAGAAAAATAAAAAATCGGGGCTCTACAGTCGCTAGATATTGCTGTTACAAATCGAATGATATGTGTCTCGACATTGTAGCATGTGATTTGCAAAAGTTATAAACTTTTTAGAGTACCAGTTATATGCCGTTTTCTATTAATTCCTCGTTTTCTTTCATTTTTTTAATTTTACATGAACAAAAAGGTCTTAGATTTCTGTTTTACATATGTGTACCAAGTTTCAAAACGATCCGTCTGTAAAGAGAAAAGTTTTGTTGGAGGGTAGCCGGTCCCCTAAGGAAAATCTAAAGGCTTTATCTATAAATGTAGCGGTAGCGCTGTAGCGGCAAAACCTCGTATCGCTACTTAAATATGTAGCGGGCGCTACCGCTACTGCTACATTGCCTTAAATGTAGAGGCGCTACCGCTACCGCTACTGAAAATGTAGCGGCCGCTAGTAGCGGCCGCTACATGTAGCGCGCTACTGCCCACCTCTGGCTGTACTTCTTACACTTTAGGCTTATAATTTGTCCGCAAAACCGTCCAAATGTTGTTTTTGTGTGACTAACATTTAATGATTATTTAGGCAACAAACAAACTACTACGACCACTGGACAGCAAATTTGAAGCTATAATGAACATGGGCGACGAAAAACGAAGAAAATGTTTAAATACTTCCTCGGAATGATTTCATTCTATCATCGATTCGTTAGACTTTTCCAATTTCACTGGCCCTCTTATGGATTGGCTGAGGTAAGATGTATAAGAACCTCTGCATTGGTCAAGCGAAACGGAATCACGTTTCGAACAGCTCTTACTTTTAAGCCTGTACTGAAATTATCAAAACCAACCAGGCCTTCCGCTGTACCTACCAAAACTTCTAATAATTCAGTTGGTTGCGTACTTCTTCATTATCGTGATGACATCCCTCACCCAACATTCTACAGTAGCAGGACGCTATTGGATAGAGAAAAACGCGACTCGAAATTAGAGTGAGAATGACTGTCTGTTGTGTCCGGTATCAATAAGTTCAAATACTACCTGTTAGGTAGCTCATTAATTCTCTAAGTTGATCACAATCCATTGATCTATTCAAATAAACAAAAAGGCAGTAACGCCTGTCCGGTGTACTGAACTCTCATCCTTCAACCTTATAAATTTCGTTCAGTCCATATCCCAGGGGCCAAGGATCTTGGAGCTTTCATGTTTAATAGGCTAGAAAAGTAAGAAACCCTAGCGAATGTTTCGCTAGTGTGATTGTTAGATTTTGTATTTTCCGTGTTGTAGTCGATTTTCTCGATGTATTTCTGCTAAGCATGCATGGATTATCCATGTTGGGTCAGTATTTTGATGGAGCGCCATTCATTTATCACCGCTTTAAAGTTAGATAGTCAGGTGCGTTGATTATAATTATTAATTATTTTTTTGCGAAATAATTATGAGCAGGACATCAGTAAGGTAATTGATGTGTCGCAGTATACGCCATATATCAAGCAAGCCCATCCTTTAGTTGTAAGCAAAGCCAAGAAAGGCGTGGAGGCAGTAGACATCTCTCATGATCACGCTGATTTGAATTAAGGGTAGCTGTTAAGCCCTGATCAAGCCGCCTGCCCTCCAGAGACCTTTGCAGTGATTTCGATAATCCTATATAATTTCCGAATTTGTGAATAACATCAGCATACTTTCCCTATGTAATCAAGATTCCCATTTTTCTATAAGAAGCACTGACATCATCGCCTTTTCATTTCATTTTTTCATCATCGCCTTTTCATTCATTCAAGCACTGACACATCGCCTTTTCGAGGTTGGACGAGATCGTCCAACCTCGTAGCAAATGCCAAACAGACCTACGGTTCTGCGAAGCCGCTTGCTCTTTTAAGCCCCTATATACATATATATACATACAGGTTTCATTGAAGACCAGAGAGTATTTCTTATTGACAATTTTCTTATTTTTCTCGATTCGGCGAATTAGGCTCTTGATAGGAAGTGAAAATCCAAATATCAGGTTTCCAAGGGACATTTTATTATAATTTTACGACGTTTCGAATGCAACTTCATTCATTATCAAGTAGAGGACGAGTTTTGCAACAAGTGACCTTTGTGGAGTGACCAGCGCGTCATTTATCCTCGTAGAGTTTTGTTAAGGGACCTAAAACCCGCCTCCCTTTGAGGAGCTGTCACAAAGTCATTTTTCGACGTACAGGGACGATACTTATACCGTTCGATGCGCAAGAAAACAACCTTTAAGATGAGATAAGCATCTCATCTATCATGAATCTTATTTCTATGTAAAAAAAATCCAGTTTGGAGACATCGTGAAGCATGTTGAAGATGTTGCAGCCTGTACTGCGCCGGCGAGCTGTAGCCGCGCTGCTGCTGGTGGTTGCCGTGTATACGCTTCTGCTGCTCAGAGTTGATCTCCAGCGTCCGCTTTACCCATTAGGTCTGCAGAGTATTGCCTTGATATGCTGTTTGATGTGTGACCATGCAAATGTAACTTTGTCCTGACATAATGTAGCTTACTAAAACTGAATTCAATTAAATATGTTGTGATTCAGATATTACCAAAGGCTAATTGTAAAAGGCTAGGTGATGAACATCAAGCTAGGAATGATCATGTACAGCAAATAATTGTACAACTATTCACGAATCGCCCAATACATAAAGTGGAAAATGTTGCCAAGGTTATTTTATAATTAGCAATAAAAAATAGTCAATTAAGTGGAGAACAATATCTATAGCGTATATGCTTCATTCGAGTATTATTGAAATGTTGCTGCAAGTCAAACTTTTTTTAGGAACGAAATAACGTGTTTATGACTGTGTCCATATACATTTGATTGTGAATTACATGCTTGTAATTCTTCAATCAGAATCACGCAATGACCTGAAAATATCGTCGGAGTTGAAGATTCTGATTGTGGTGTGCAACAGTGAGTACTTATTGAACGCTCGTGCAATAATGAATCAAGGAATTCAATCTTCAATATTTTAGACATAGTCAGATACATAAGCATTGTACTAATTTTCGCAGTATTTTTCTGTAATTGATATTCTTGCACACAAGATCAAAGTAGACCGTGTTTTTAAAAATAATTGTTTTGTGTTTTCATTCTGATACTGATGTAGGACGGTAAAAAATATACCCGTATCCAAGTGATTAGAATTATGTAGAAATGAACTTCAATGGACATATCAACCCAATCACGACTTATTTTGCCCCAATTGTTTGCAATTGAGGGTCAACCCATAGATGCATTGAGGATCGTTTCAAATTCATACCATCAAAATATTTTGTGTCATCAGAATTATTCCAAAACTATGGACTATAAATTTTTCTGAACGATTCAAGAATATAACTAGAGAAGACTGACGGAAAATTCATGAGTCGATCGATCTGCATGGCCTGAACATGTAATTTTCTTCATCAGGCGACTCAAAGGCTCTACTAGACTCATCGGACAGGCAGTTACAGCAAGCCAAAGTCTCCATGAAAGCGGCAGTTTTTCTGTCACGCAGGCGTATTAGGTGAGTCTATAAGTGAAAAGAATGAGTTGCATCAATTCTACAGATTGATTAGTCATTTAATTATGCAATCATGATCTACGATGTATGGACGAGTAACTCATAACAAAATATCTTGTTGACAACGCTGTGCTGCACGATCAAGGAACATTTCTTCAAACTTACACCACCTTATTCGCAGGATTTGTTACATTCCTTTTTCATCTTTTCCCTGGTGTTGGTGTCAAGGAATTTCATTCATTTACTAGATAGAGTGCCATAATTTGGAGTAAAACACTTCTAAAGTCCCAATAATTGTACGGCGCTGACTCCAGTACGAATGGTCCTCAGGTTCCATATCGTGAGCGATTCGCAAGCCGTCTTCGACGAGCTCGTCGCTGCCGCTGAGGCCTGGCCAACGGCCTACAGAGAGAAAACCTCGTTCCAGGTGAGGTTTTGTGTATTAATTCAAAATTATTTATCGTGATTTAATAATTCATTTCATTATATACTTAGGTTTAAAGATATCTCGTAATTCCATACTCATTACTTATTGAAAATTTAATTAAGTTAAGACCTGTGCTCCCTCTACGACATTTAAACGTAAAAGGTGAGAAAAAATATTGGCAGTCAAATTGATTTCATTCTCCGTTCCTTTTTAGTAGATCACCTTGATAAAGCAACTGTATTGATGCTTTTTGTTGGACGAAACATGCCAGTAAACTTATTAAGTTGAACCCCTGCAAAGGAATCGACATACGGAGAAGCTGCAATGGACAATTTATATATTATAGTGGGTGCAAAAAGCATCCAACAAAAAGGGAAAACCTAATTTAATTAAGCTTATTCAACAAAATACCATAAATAAACACTATTCCAACGTAAATTTACATGGGAAATACAAATATCCTAACCAAACAACAATATCATTAAATAATGACTTGATTACGTTTGAAAAGATGATTGACAAGTGATTGCAAAAATATATATATATTTATTAAGTTCAACCTGTAAGTTTCAAAGCCTATCGGGATTTTATTACCACGTTTTTCTTAGCTCGCTTTCGTGTCCCTCTGTCTGTGATGATCAAATCTTGCAATCGATATTTCACCAACTTTCCCGCTAGCTAGCGCTCTGAAACTTTTAGGGAAGCTCAGCTACCGGTAACAATACAGTAATCAATGATTTGTTGCGCGTTTCCAGGCGTATTTTTACCGAACCTTTTTTTTACAGCATCGCACCCAGATAAATACGGGAACAACAATGTATCCCCTCGAATACTATTTTCTTCAGAACTTTGAAAAGAATTTTCTTTTGTGCATTTGCGTGGCCAACTGAAATGAAATGAATATTATGTAGGATGGTTGACCTTTGTGCACTAGTTATAAACTCTAAAGGAACTCACAAGCAGGGGTTGGGAACCTTTAATGCACGTCATCCTCGAGAGGATATTCGTCTTTAGACTGCGTATATCGATGATACGCTTCGTATCATCGATACGTACGTCGAGTCAAGTAAATTGGCTCGCAACAACGTTTTTCATGTGTAGCAACGGACTAAAAAGGAGAAAATAAAATACTTAAAAAGTAAAAAGTAGAAAATAAAATGTATAAAAAAATTTTTTAAAGACCACGTTTTTCATGTGGACTCAAAAGTAGAAAATAATTTTTCGGCAGCTACTGATCTCTGTTTGCTTTCATTCTCTTGGTCTTTTGTATTTCAGTTAAAATATTTTACAACATCTAAAACGAAAAACGTGGGGGCGCATATATATTTAATTGTTTGGTGATTACTTGATATGATGAATATGATGGTTCATTGAACATTTGATAAGTGTATTGCTGATATAATTCGAAATAGTGGTTGAATTCAAAATTGAAATTAAGGCATGCCTAAATGAAGATGCGCCCCACGTTTTTCGTTTTAGATGTTGTAAAATATTTTAACTGAAATACAAAAGACCAAGAGAATGAAAGCAAACAGAGATCAGTAGCTGCCGAAAAATTATTTTCTACTTTTGAGTCCACATGAAAAACGTGGTCTTTAAAAATTTTTTTATACATTTTATTTACAACTGTATGAACTTTCACTCGATCTGTCTTTTGACTTCGACAACGTGCTTCTCGGAATCAATCCGAGATCCTACTCCTCTCGGTTGAGTTTTATTAAAATTGTCTAATGTCAGGTTGGTTATTAAAGTTCCCAAAGTTCCGAGTGGTTTAATAAGGACATGCAGAAGGTTCTCTAGTCTGAATCAATGACAAATTGACAAGGGAGGATTTAGAAACGACACACGAAAATATTTCAAAACTTATATACTTAAGGAAATTAACTATCCCAATACAAAACTTTGACACGAGGATACGATTTCATCCCAATTTACGGGCACTGTCTAGCACAAGTTGGGAACAAATTTATGACAAGGCAAGCTGTCCTTTTACAGGGCTATTCCGTTTTAATCAGCCTACTTATTACTGCATATGGGATATTAATGCATGGCAATTGACAAGATCTACGTCCTAAGCTGGAATCTAGGTGAGTGGCACGACGTACCAAGGAAATGATCACGCTAATAGCAGATTGATTCTCTATCCAATAATAACTCTGCCCCCAGTAAATTCCCGACTAGTACTTCACCGAGCTCGGGACGCAGGGAGGTAGTGGTCGGGACGGTGCTTGACGTGGACCATCGGCTTTCTCTTTGTCGGGGGCACCTCTAAGGCAGTGGTCAGAAGGAAGGACATTAAACGAATACAGTTTAAACACTTTACTTATGAACGAGAACTAAGATACTAACATTAATCAAAGGAAGAACAACTTCTGAACAATACAAAGGGCAGGTGAATTACCTCTAAATATAGACACGTGAGCGTGCCTAAGCAAACTAGATAGAAGTAACGACGTGAAGCGTCAACTCTCAACAATACCATGGGTCCTCGTCGGCTTCCTAAAAGCTCACACCAAACACACGGCAGGAGGCACACCTTCGTGCCCCACTCAACTTAGGAAGTTCAAAATTCCCGTGGTAGAGATGGCCGTGGAGGATACCGTGGCGAAGCCCCACGAGGAAAGTAGTAGGCACGTAGTGCTACTAGATGCTAGTTCGACTAGACAGAAGAAATGGCTCCGGAGGTGACATGGTCAGTGACACCATGCAGGCCCACCGGCGTACCTTAACAAAAGGGACATGTTCAATGTCAGGCTGTAGGTGCTGCAGCGCCAGGGCGTTTAAGCGAGCAGACCGTTGGGGCACTGACACTATCAACAAATGAGAATAAAATGTATAAAAAAAAATTTTAAAGACCACGTTTTTCATGTGGACTCAAAAGTAGAAAATAATTTTTCGGCAGCTACTGATCTCTGTTTGCTTTCATTCTCTTGGTCTTTTGTATTTCAGTTAAAATATTTTACAACATCTAAAAACGAAAAACGTGGGGCGAGCATGTTAGGCGGCGGCTCAAAGTCGTGCTGGTCAAACCAATGTAATTTACGTTCTGGAGAAGTCTACAACCTTCTTTGTGGCAGGAATATTTGTTCTGCGTCTTCAATGAAACCTGCATTAAAGAACAGCTTCTGCCAAACTTCACAAATATATACATACATACACGTGAGTTCCAACGTGTATTTCTCACAAGAACAATACTTTAATTTGAAAATTGGGAGCGGCATTTTGGCCAACAATATTGGTAACGGGTTTCGCAAATATCAGGGCTATGTTTCTCGAGTTTGTGCACAACTCATGGTATTTTCTAACTCTATGCATCTATGATCGTTTGATTACAACCCAACGTGAACTTTTTCAGGGAACTAAATTCCCTGATATTATTCATTATTGATAAATCGACTAGGAAATTCACGTTCTTTAAAAATTTCTTAATATGAGTGAGGTAAAAACGAGCTTATTTTGCATTCCCCATTCGAAAAAAATGTATAAAAAAAAATTTTAAAGACCACGTTTTTCATGTAGACTCAGAAGTAGAAAATAATTTTTCGGCAGCTGCTGATCTCTGTTTGCTTTCATTCTCTTGGTCTTTTGTATTTCAGTTAAAATATTTTACAACATCTAAAACTACCGGCTCTTACGGGACAGCTACCTGGAGGGCATTACATATTAAGCCCTGCCCCTTGCATATTACGCCCTGCCCCATATACCGGCTATGAATCCGGCATTTCAACCGGCTTGGCGTTTCCGGGACTTCCGGCCCTTTAACCGGCTATGTGAGAACGGGGCATAAAAGTTTCAGAGCGCTAGCTAGCGGGAAAGTTGGTGAAATATCGATTGCAAGATTTGATCATCACAGACAGAGGGACACGAAAGCGAGCTTAGAAAAACGTGGTAAAAACATGAAATATTGCAACTAGCAATCAACATATTGCTCGCGCAAATACATTTCAGAAGCCTACAAAGGCCAGACCTAGCCGCAAGTGAAAACGCCAGGCGATTAAAATCACATCCACAATTATTTAAGCAACCCTTCCTAATTTTATATTTACCTTAATAATTAAAAAAAATCTAGGCGAATGACTGAACGCGATAATAAACAGAAATTATAACACCAGAGCTAACAAGCTTTTTAGTCTTACGCAACTTACCGGCTAAACAGCAAAACGAGGAGCGGCAAGTGCGCGTTCCTCCACGACTGAGATAGCAGAGCGGCAAGTTTGCCGGCACGCATGACGTGACGTGTAAGTTTAGCGGAAAGTAAATTTATAGCGAGCTTTCCCTCACACTCTTCTGCAGATCGGCGTTGTTTCGTTCCCTGGCAACGGTGCAGATTGGCGTCGTTCCGCCCTTTTTCTCCGAGCTTGTGACCGTAAAAATGTGACCGGGAATGTAGGTTGTCGTGCTTCTTCCGAAGACGATGAAAGCTCTCCTTGTCGGCGTATCGGTTTCTCCGCTGTACAGGGTGTCCCAAAAAAAACGATACCCAACTTTGAATGGCTGTAACTCGAAAAGTAATAGAGTTAAAAAAATTTGAAAGGGCAGAATTTGTTCCCTATGTTCTTCTCCATCTCTCCACCAAAAATCAGACAGACCGATGTAGCCATAAGCGTTTGATAGAACTTTCAGTGACATGTGCTAAAATCGTGCTTGCGCAAAGTTTTAGTAAGATCATTATGCATAATCATTACGTTGTCTTGGCATGTTTTCTTTTCGCTGTTTTATTTTTTAGCGCATTTTCTCATTTATGAAAAAATGCACTATTGTGCTGGCCATGTCCGTCTGTCCGTCCGTCATTCTGCCCGTCTGTCTGTCCGTCCGTGACTTCATGTTTTCGTCGACGAGAAAATGCGCTCTCTGTCACTCACTGCAGTGAGTACTGAGTTACATTATTGGTATCTTTGGTGAGACAAAAACAAGGCAATCTTTGGTTAGAGACAATCTTTGGTTTTGAAATTCTCTCTCACCAAAGATTGCCATGATTGTCTCTCACCAAAGATTGCCAT